TTCCATACAATTTGGAAGCGTTGAGTTAAATTTTGAAGTTAAGATGAATTTATTGAAATTTTCGTGATGTAAATTTTGGTTGATTTTCAATTGTATTTTTGGATTTCACGGATAAAGTATTCCATTCTTCTCGAGATCTATACGTTATAGAATATATGGATGATATGTGGATAGTTTAATGTCTAAGACAATCATCAAATTTAAATTTTATTCAATTGTGGAACGATGTCTTTAGGTTATAATTTTAATTGAAGGTCTTTGTGCGATACACAAGAAAGCTTACGCATTGGTAATAGGCTGATGACCTCTTTATGGAATAAGAGTATAGAATTATCATGGATTAATTGTTATAATTGTCTCTTCATAGAAAGAAAGAGCATCAAAATTTTGTGGATTTAAGGATGTAAAAAGTGTTGCTATCAGATTAAATTCTGAGGAAATAGTTACTCTTGTATCAAAACTTGATGAGGATTTGATTTATGATAGTGGATTATGTTAAAGTTTAAAAAGTGTTCTGAAGTAAAATGATGAATTATAAATTATATGATAGATTGTTGAAGAGGCATGATTAAAACATGATTTGGAGTTGGTTAAATTGGGTTATATTATCACATTGCGAGAAATATCAATACTTATCAATCATCAGAGTTTAAGGTATATTTTATTCAAAGTGGTGGAAATGGAAATTGTGTATATATTATCATTGGGTGATATAGAATTAAAGGAAAAAGAACACCATATTGAGCTATCTCAATTGTTTTGTTGGGGATAATTAGAATTTTAAAAAATCATGACCAATTGAATCTTTGGAAATATTGTCAATTTAGAATGGAGGTAGTTACCCTCAAATATTTTTTTTTTGTTTGGGGATTCCAAATACTTGGAATGGAGACAAAATAGTATGTAAATCATTGATTGATAAAGCTTACAAGATTCTTTTAAAAGATATAATCAGTTCATAGGATACACTTATAAAATTATATTTAGACAAAATTTTCAACTACATGGTGTAATTGGAGTATTTATCTTTGGTTAGCTGTAAGAAGTTATATAATTAAATCACATTGTGCATCTTCTTTTGATAGAATGTTAGACGCTGTGAAGACAAGTTCAAAAGAAAGGTTATCAATTATGGTTGGTTAATTAAAGGTACTTGGATAATTATCTATTTTTCATTGAAGTGATATATAAGAGCTAGACACAAGTGACTATAATTGAGATTATATATAATATTGAAATATTCCAAGGATGTATGACGAAATGGGCGAAAGAATGTTGTTCGATCTTAATATGTAACCATTGTTATAGAAAAAGAATGTGATTAGAGAATAGTTTAAATTATGATGTAAGGTGAAGATTTGGAGAAGATGAAAAGTAGTATCTTGAACTTCAAATTTAATAATAATAATAATAATAATAATAATAATAATAATAATAATAATAATAATAATAATAATAATAATAATAATAATAATTGAGTTTTCATAAGGTTTGGAAAAAAAAGGGAAAAAAGAGAAGACGAGACTATCATATATTAGCTCTTATGAAGTTATTAAAGGTTTGATAGGAAAGATTAAATTTTGAAAATAAAAGTTTATTGGAGTGATCATTCAACAGATTAGGCATTATGGCAAGTGAGGATCAAATGTGTTCTTTATATATATATATTACATGTGCGAATATTAACTAATATAATTTTGAGGACGAAATTCTTTTAAGGGGTTGAGTATTGTAATGCCTCAATTATTTAAAAAAAAAAAAAAAAAAAAAAGAAAAGAAAAGAAAGAAAAGTCAAAATCTAAAATTGAAGTCAAATATATCAAGTTTAAAAAAAAATGAAACCAAAACAAAAGTGGACAAAGTCAGGTGGTGGTTGATTATAATAATCCAAATCCATTTAATTTTCGTATCAATCCATTTATATACAATCCATTTACACACAACAATTACTGTATACAAACAGAGAAGAAATAAGAAAGAGAAAAAGAGGGAAAAGAAAGGAAAAAGTAAAAAAAAAAAAAAAAAAAAAAAAAAAAAAAAAAAAAAAAAAAAAAAAAAAAAAAAAAAAAAAAAAAAAAAAAAAAAAAAGGAGTAGAGGAAGGAAAAAAGAGGAAAGTTCACCTATGTTGTTAGAAAATAAGTAGTCTATATTATTATACTTGAATTCCTCAATTTTGAAAGGTAAGTAAAAAGTTATTTATTGTCAAATTATGTTTGATTATATAGTTGTTAGATTGTTAGATTAAATTCAATTTTATTGACGGAGTTAAGCATAATAAACTATGAAATTGAGTAAAATGAAAGAAAAACTAGTTTTAGTGATTAAAGAGACTTTAGAAATTACCTAAACGTGAAATGATTAAGTTTAGATATCGCCTATTTAATTATTGAAATTATTTAAAATAATTAATTGTTTATTTAAAAATTATATCGTATTTCAGGCTACGATACTGACATCAGAATAGCTTGCTAATCGGGTTGATTTTGCGAACATTGTACTGTGAGTAGAAAAATATAAATATTTTTAAAGTATTTATAAATTAAGTTTATTGTTAAAGTATGTGCAATTATATGCAATTATGTGTTCGAATTACATGGTTATTATGAAAATATATTTTATTATGATAGATGTGAAATTTTAAAGATTGTATACGTTACATTGTGAATTGGAATATGAGATATGATTTTTAGATCGACCAGAAAAGTGCTCGTGATTATATATTTCTTCTAGTTCACTGAAGGGTCTTGGTCGTGTTCTATACTACAATGAGGGGTCTTGGACCGGGGATGAAGGGGTCTCGACCTTGTACATATAGTTTACTGAGAGGCCTTGGCCGTGTTCCAGACTTGATTATGAGATTTTTTGAGATCGACTTTCGTTTACGAAGGGGCCAAAGGCCCGTGGCGAAAGTTTTTAGTCCGAGAGGCGGATTATATATTTCAGTCGGAGGGTACATATTTGGTGAATTTTTCAATACGTTTGATGTGATGAGATTATAACATGGTTATCAATTGATATATATATATATATATATCATGATTTTAAGATGATATTTTATGACCTTATGTGAATATTTCACTTTTTGGCTATAATTATATGATGTTATCTTGCGAGTTATCAATGATATGAACTCGATTTTCGATAAAAATGAAAAAGTATAATTATTTTTGATCTTCTCCACTCACTGAGCTATCAACTCATATATTTTCCCGTAATTTCCCTATAGGAGGAAATTAATTCTTTTTAACTGGAAGAGCCTAATGATTTCGGAATGAGAGCCACACGACATGTTAAGTGTTATAATTCATATTGATGAAGCACGAAGTAAATATTTTGGGCCCATCGCATTATATTTTACATAAGCATTTGATTTTGTTGTATTTTTGAAATAACTCATAGTCAGCATTGGTGATAGATTTGACATCTAATCAGCATCTATCATCGGTGTACGTCACATTTCGAGTCCACTAGAGTAATTCGGGATGGGTCGTGTCACTGCCCCTTCCAATCAAAGTCACTAGTCTCAAAACTTCCAAGTGGATATATGAATGTACATCAGGAAACCTCTCCATGGGATGATCTATAGGATACCATCCGTCCAAGTTAATCTAGTGGAACTCGCCCCCAGGGCACATTTCTAAGTGGTAAAAGGAGAGGGTGGAGAAATCCAGCTTTGCTTGAGGTTGCTGCGTCAAGGGTTCGCATCCTGAAATATGAATTTGGCTTTTGGGTAAGTACAAGTGTACAAGCAGCCTTCCACCCTGTACTTTTGGAGGCATAACCTACGATTTACCTCCCTCACGATGCTCCAGGACAGGGGTGGGGGGGACCCTTAAGTTTAGGGTTTAACCTTTTTAATCTAGTGGAACAAAATTATGACACGATGATGATGGATGCTAGATACTATGAGGAATTCAATGTAATATCATTCTATATAACGAAAATTCAATCTTGATGGTTCTGATATCTAGCTACCAACATCCACCATCATGTCATGTTTTATGCCTACTAGGGTTATTTGGAATCATCGGTCATATTAGATGGGTCTACTAGGACGATCAAGAAGGTCGTGTTAACAAATTTCTTGAGCATGTGCAAGTAGTAATATAAAGTCTTGAGGGCAAAATATTATACAAATATCAATAACAAATCAGCTAGCTTCATTTAGTTGTATTAGCATGAGATATAGGCTCGAGTCATGCTCGATGAGTTCTTAGACTAAAACTATTTGTAAGCTGATTTAGCATTACACCATATACAATTTTCAGCTAAAAAAGTAGACTTTTGAGTTTTCATATAATCCTATCTTTGAGGTTACCAAAAAATTATTTTAGGGAAAAATGAAAATTTTGCAATTTCTAGGCAGAAAGGGCAACTACCATTTTTGGCAGATTATTTATTGTTTCAACTACTCATTTTTTGATTGTATTAAATGTAGGAAGGTATCAGGATATCACAAATTTTGTAATAATAATTATTAAGTAGTACAAGTTGTTTTATCCCTCACTGCCACTGAATTCCTTGTGATTTACATATTCACTTCATTTTTGCTTGGACACTCTTTCTGGACGATACATAGCATAAATCCTGAAAACAAATTTCTATTCTTATATATTTTAGAAATTTGAAATTATTCATTATTGGTCAGGGATTTGCATCAGTTCTTAGTCGAAACTACACGGGAGACCTTGGCTGTTGCTGCTTTTGGTTGTAGACTGTAGCCAAAACATCTTCTTCAGAAATGATAATATATCATAAGCTTAATGATTTTTTATTTTTCCCCCCCTGAGTCATGAACTTCGACTTAAACAATTTCAGCCAGATTAACTCAACCAAGATTCAGGGCCTGTTTGATGAGGATTTTTTAAAATATCAATCAAGAAAACGAGAGCTTAATTATTACTGAAGCAAAAGTTCACTTAAAAGGGAAACCACTGTTAAGACACAGCAGATTGAGGTTCCACTGTCTTCTAACTAAATCTCATCCAAAAGAAATGACTTGATAATAAAAGGGAAAAAAAACCCTAAACTTGATGCAAAACAAAGGTACAAAATAGTTTAATACAATTCAAGGAGGACTTTGTTTACTTTATAATTATGGACAAAGTCAATACCCGAACCTATATTAATCTTGCTGAGTGGTGAAACTCAGTATGTTTCTTCATCCAAGATAATTAACACTACACAGCAAGGATTATACAAGGTGCGTTCTTGACTTCTTTCCTTCCTCCCACATCCTACGGTAAACATATTCTTCTTTCCCATTTGCTCTTCGTTTCAAGTCTAAACTGCAACATAAGACAGTCAAAAAATGATGTCAGAATGAAGAAACTGTTTTTAAGGACGTAGCGACTGTCAAGATTTAGGCGAAAAAAAAGGAAGATGCTTCGTTTATGGTTGATCAAATATTTAACAGATAGTTGTAGCACTAACCAGAAGTAGATTTTAAAATGTAAAATCAGTTTTCATGTCTGTCTACTTTTTTTTTGCAATATCAAAGGTTGGTTTATTTAGGAGTACAGCATGTACTTATAAAATTTATCACATTTCCATCTAAATAAATATTTCCTGCTTTCAGGCATGGAAAGCTCTAAGGGGATATCTTTCAGAACAGGGCATAAGGTAGAATAATTACTTGTCAAATCCAAGAATAAGTTTAAAAAGAAAGGCTTACCAGGAAGCAGACCTTTTGGTCATGCACCTTCGCACAGCAATGCACCCTTGATCCTTTCTACGGTGCACTTGATAAGGCTATTAACAGTTGCCACTGAACCAAGAGAAAGTTTTGCTGTTGGAACTGAATCTACCAATATCTGAAAGGCGACAGTCAGTAATGATCCACCAGACCCAACCTCGGGATTAATCCCTCCAGCTGGATTTATAGGTCCATCAGGAAGTATAGCAAAACCAGATGGTAAGAGGGCAACATAGTCTGGATCGCCTCCACTTAAGACCACATTCATGGCAATAATATCAACTGGAGCATATATAACATAGGAGCCTGTTGAATCTGTACAACTCTCTTGTAAAATTAGCATATTGCTTTGGCTTGAGTTTGCACTCTGCAGATTACATTTTCAACAGATTATAAGGAACAATCCAGTCATTTGGGGGAAGTTCTGGTACCAATGATTGGATTATAAACTGCTCAAAAGATATATCAACAACTTACATTGACACGTAGTAATGAGACAGAATTGCCCGGATCACGGCCATTTGCAATATGTGCCATTTCTTGAACAAGGCCTTCGTTAGAGAGAATATCCCACTGTAATTGTTATATAATATAAAATGTTAGTAATTTCTTCAAGAATCCTTGTAAACACTCGAATAAGCTTCTAAAATTGCAAAGAGTAGAGGAAATTTTGTTTAATTAATCATATAAGGATATTTTCTGTCATATCCTGTAATATATAGTGACGATCGTGTGATTATTTGTTTCCCTAGTACGATTTAAGAATCCATGTATTTTTAGTATTTCACTTGATCATAGGAGCTGCAGAAGTAATGTGACATCAAAGATTGACTTGGACATTTAAATTCAAGGTCTTGAACAAACATTCCATACCTCATTTCTCAAATTCTCATCACGAAGAAAATCAAAAACTCTTTTTGGCGGAACTGGGAGCCAAAATGATGTAGCAGCACTTAGCACAATACCAGGAGGCCTGCCTGGATCATCCACACTTTTTCTGGTCATAACCCTAACATCATCAGCTCCACTTCCTGAAAGTGTAGTCCATGTGTGTGCAGTTGAAGCACCGACCCCAGAGCAGAAGCTCATTACCATTCTTTCTGCCAGCTTCAACATACTCTTTCTACCTTCTGGACATGATATCACTGCACCAGAAATTACACAAATTAGCACAGGCTAAAAAAATCATGTCAACTAACATTTTACAGTAAAATTTGGAATCTGTTAGTACCACCACCATCTCCTCCTGAAATGTTATTGGCCATTACACTTGCAAGACGTTCACATTGTCTATCCAAAGTCGCTACCCAGCGTCTTGCCCCAAATGCGAGACCAGAATTGACCAGTGGTTTGTAGATTGTATGAACAGCTCTATCGTCTACCTCAATGTGTTCCACCCATATAACCTGCAGATAGGAGCATGATCACTAGTAATATAGAGACCTATATTTATTTAAATTGAAATTTTAACTCCGAGAATTTGTTATACCTTTGAGTAACCATTTGGCAATTCTTGGATCAAACAACCAGATGGCCTTCGTCTACACCTGGGTATAGAGGTAGCTCTCAGGTTGTCCAAAGAAACATCCACCACAGCCCAAGTTCCATCACCATGTTGTTTGCAATATCTTGCAAAATAGTTTTCGCGAGTTGGAACCAATGGAGAAGGGACCTGGAACTCAGCAGTCATCTACAAAGATAAAAGCATTAGGATTAACAATTTCTAAGAGTTTCCGATAAAATGTCCTTGCTTAAGCAGTGAAGAATAGCAATCTCCAAGATAAAATTTTTATGCATACCACTTGTAAAGCTCCATTATAGTTGCCAGCCACTCCAGTTGATAAAACTTCAACAATCATTGCTCTTGAGACAATGCTGGAGAACACGCTTGTCCATTGATTCTGTAATCACAATGACACCAAAAATGCTGATTAAAATGAAATTAAAAAATAAATAAATTATATAATGATTTCCATATATGCATGTAAGAAATCCCACCACATCCATCAGAATTTCAATCAAGCTGATGTGATTCATTATCACAATAGCTGACTCTCGAGATGCCTCAGATTTCAATCCCAAGGGCTTTGGCCCAATAAGACGAGGGAAAGTGCGGACATATTCCTCTTCACTCAAAGTCTCAGCAGAATTGTCCGTGCTAGGCATCCACAAAGGCTCTCCAGTTTGAGCCATTCGGATTAATTCCTCCATTGCTGCAACAGCCAACTCAATGACCATGGGCTTGTTGGCATCAGCTGGTCCGGAGACCGACCTAAGAAGATCAGCCGCACCAAATAACTCATTGTCCATGCCGGTCTGCAGCCCATAATTTCCCGGTCCAAGATCAAGTGAACGAGATGATCCAGGAGGAAGATGTGCATAAGAAAGCAAAGGTTTGCCAACATACTTTGCAGCAATTCCAGAAATCCTATCAATCTGAAAAGAGAGTACCCATGTACATAAGTTCAAAAGTACATATAAAAACACTTACAGGCTAAGTTTTTTGCTTAATCATTTATTTAACTGTGGATCAAAATGATTAGAAATTTCCAAACGCACTATCTCATTAAAGCAAGAATCTTTTGACACATACTAAAAAGCAATATTCCTAATACAAGTGTCTCAAGTCTGCTCTTATTACCTCCTCTCTTAAGCGAGCATTCTCTATCCTCAAGTGCTGCTCATCAAATGCTGCACATGCTTGAGTAACTTACTTTTCTTGAAAGTTGATAGAAAGCCTGGAAAACCTTAATAAGATTCTAGGGTTAGAGAAGAGCAAAGCAGGTTAGATCAGGTTTTAAGGTCAATCGGGTTGATGAAAAAGCAGAATTTGGTTAGTACTGTAAAGAGTGGTTTTGAGGTTTATTTCGAAGGATGCCTTTCCTGTGACTAGAATTTAAGAACAGCAGTGAGGACATGGAAATGAAAGGGAAATAAAAGGGGACAGATATAAAAATGAAAAGAGAGAGAAGAGAGTAGTGACGGGGGAGGTGAAGAAGGGAGAAGAAAAGAGGAACAGGTGGAGAAGATGGAGGAGTTATTGCAGAGGGTATAGAGAGGATGCCATCGCATTTATGGGTTTTTATTGCTGATGAGAGAGAAGGCTATGTGGTTGGTATCTGATGTTTAAATTTCCTCTATATATTCATGCGTACATACATGTATGTATATGTATTTATACAGAGGGTGGTGAGGTGGGGTCTTTACTACATCTTCAACAGCTCACTTTTTACTGGATCCAAATATATGAGGTACACGTATGATTGACCATTCAAATCATGACACTTCAAACGTTGACCATATATGAGATACGTGCACGATTGTCCACTCAAATCACTACATCTCAAAAGTAAGGTCTTTGCTACATCCTCAAGAACTCACTTTTCACTTGACCTAAATATGTAATACATAGGTATGATTGTCGTTATTTAAATCACGACACCTTAGACATCGACCATATATGACGTACATGTATGATTGCCCACTCAATTCACGACCTCCATAGTGGGATCATTATCCTAGCAGCTCATTTTTCACTAAATCGAAATATACAACATACACGTCCAATTTTCCACTCAAATTAAGACATTTCAAACGTTGACCATATATAATGCACACGTGTGGTTATCCTCTCAAATCATGACAGCTCGAATATCGAGGTGTCATGATTTAAATGGTTTAGGATCCAAGGTGTCGGTTATACTAGGAGTTTATAAAAGTCTATTCTTGTAGGAGCGTGAGAAAGAAAGCATACACAATGTTCTTTCATAGTATTATTATTATCTAAAATTACTAGATTTCCTGCATGAAATTCCAATTTTAGTATCAGAATTAATCAAATATAGAGAGTGCATGGTTATTTCTAATAAAACATAATTTGATTTTTGAATGATTTCTTAGTATGTATTTTTATGCTTTGCTTTTAGATGATTATAAGATCAAAGGCATAGTAAAATTATTTCTTCAATTAAATCGTTCAACTGAAAGAAATACAGTGGATATGTGCATTAATGAATTACATATATGATTACGATTTTCTCCTTATTTTGCTTTTAATTTCATGAAAATTCCCTAATCAAATTATTATTTCACAATCTGCCTAACGTACAAGCATTCATAGCCTACTAATAAATACGTATATACTACAGGAAATATTACTGATAGGATGGTATACAATTTTTTATAGTTAAAAATCTACTGTTGATTTAAGTGATCTTCCTTTTGATTTAAGTGATATCTGAAGATAAAGATCATAGAATGTTGATTTTGATAATGATCTATCTATTTTTTTATAAATAAATTACATATAGAAAGTTTCTGTGTGGTCTTGAACCTCGAAGGTGTACTAATATGAAAATTCAAAAAATTGCTTAAATATAAGAAACAACAGCAATTTAGTTCAAAATCTGGAGAGTTTACACATAATCAGCTAAAAAAAATATATATCTTTACCCTATTATTAATACTCATTGAGAAAAAATATAAAAGAATACATAAAATTTATAAAATTTTGCCTTAATGTGAAATTATGCATTCTTCCGTCACTACAATATTCACTGTGATTAAAATAATTTTATAAAAGAAAAATTGTGCACCTTATTTTCTCTAATATCTATATTTTTTTTAATGATGGTTATGTAAGTTTTAATGATGACTCCCTATTTATAATAAAATTATGGCAAAATTAATATTATAAATGTGAAATTCTTGAAATATCCTTAATGAAATTTTGGTCGATTCATGTATGAATAATAATCAGGCTCCACAACTTAATACCGTATAGGTTGCTGAGTTG